ACAAGTTGTGGACCACCTTAAGTGATACATTTATGTTTGCATATTTCACTAACAGATTTTCAAACATAATGATTTAATTTATGACGTAATATTAACCAAAAGACCATTTAAAACCAAATAATCATTTAGTTTTATTTTGAAGCTACTGATGAACAAAGTTGTATAATTTCTTTCGAGACTAATCGGTGAAGACACCTTTTACCAAGTAATAGAAAGATGCTACAGGAAATTATCAATGGTATTTGCTATACTATTTTATGGATACTATAGTGCAAAATAAACAACTTTAACAACATTTGTAACAGCTTATAGTAAAAACAGATTATCTCTACTGAGATGATTAGATAATGTGACTTTAGGTAGAAAAAAGATAGTAGTTGAATAACAGAATCCTTTGAGTTTAGTTTTATTATTAAATGCCTAACATCATCATAATCATTTGGGCAGTTTTAACTTTTCAACTATCAAACTTTCGAATGGATTTCAGTGGTTTTAATTCAGAGATTTTAATCGTAAATTAAACGCATAGAAGTGAAATCAATAATCAGTAAACTTTACAAGTGGGATTTCTAAAAAAGTAAAAATTAATAGTTCTTGATTTATTGACAGCTACCTTTTACAACGAATAAATTATACATTAAAATATTCATATTCGAGTGAGCTTTCTCAAAGTACTAGTCCATGTGTCACTTCTACCACTGTAGCCTATAGTAACTTGAAACATTCATCCCACTAAAATTTTCAGTAAGTTAGTAAACAAGAACTATTTAAGTATTTAAATTTTGGTCAGTTTTTCATCACAAGTTTTTCACCGATGTAGTAATTTTCCAAAATAGTTGATCTTTTGAGCAGAATGACTTTTCACTATTTTTAACCATAAGGTTATAAGTGAATTTCTCAAACAATCATTGCAAAACTATTACCTAGACTCACAGTGAAACATAGATCAATGACAGAAAGTCAGTCAGTCAGTCAGTTACGTCGCAGAACTTCGTACGTATGAACATAAGTTCATGTTGCCATACCACATAAGCACAGACGGAACTGTCAGTTCAAATCCCATAGTGGTAGAGATAGTGGAAGTATTGGCAGTAATTGAGAAGATTCGCGTTTGAAGATGTTATTCAAGGAGTATAATCCAGTGCAATAAATTTGAGAAGAAAATGATCAAGGTCATGAGGAATTTAGAAGATTACAATTTGAGAGAACGCAAAGAATCGATGCACCTGCGCCATTCCAAGCGATTTTGAGCCATGTCATTCAGAGTCTCCATCCATCGGTTACTATCATCTCACGGACATCAACCAGGTAGTCTACATCTACCAACATGACTCAGTCCACTTGTCACTGACTTCATGGATTTCCGCCAAGTTTTGGTCCGGCCGCCCCTAAATTTCTTCTAACCTACTCCTACACTACAAAACAAAGCTCGTCGAGGCAGTTGGTGGTTAGGCATACACAGCACATGTTCCAACCACCTCAACTGATGAAGTTTCATTACTTCATTTAGTGATTTGCCATCCCTACCTAGTATTTGTTTCCCAGCAACTGCATTGCTTACTCGGTTGTACCAAGATGCACCAGCAATCCTTCGAAGACACTGATGATGGAAAACTAATAACCTACGAATACCTTCAACTCTAACCGGCCATGTTTCACAGCCATGGATTTGGACGGAGTGGACTGCTGCGCAGTACACTCATCCTTTGGTTAGCAAACAAATATCTCTCCTACTCCATAAATGACTTTAGTAGGCGAAAGCCAATCGAGCCTTCTGTATCCAAGCTGATATTTTGTCAGTCACCAGGCCATCAGCACCGATGAGACTCCCCAGATAAGTGAAGCGGTCTACACGTTCGACTACTTCACTCCCTATCACTAGTTCCGGTGAATTCGCAAGCCATTCTTGAAGCAACATTTTTCATTTTGATGGGGACAGTCGCATGCCGACATGCTTGCATTGTTGCTTAGGGTAGTCAGAAGACTCTGCATTTTGTCAGCATCTTCATCAAATAGAACTATGTCCTCGGCATATTCTAAGTCAACAAGTTAGTCTCCTGGTAGAAGGTTTACCCATGAAAATTCAGACGAAGATAACGCTAGATCTAGAAGCAAGTCTATGACAAAACTAAACACGAACTTGTGTAAGGTTGACGTACGTTTTTTGTACACCTTTTAATGACAGGCACTGCCACAGAACCTCACGACCGACAGATTCAAGTGCCACCTTAAGGTCCGGGAAGACAACTATTGTTGGACGGCTTAGTGTGTATCTGTGTCCTAGGACCTCTCGTAGTGTAAAAATGTGGTCTATATAGACACGTCAAGGTCTGAAACCAGCCTAGTTTTCTTGAGTATGAGCTTCACAAGCTATCGTTAAACGCCGAAGTATTACCAAGGCTAACATTTTAGATACTATATTGGTTTTGTGATCGTCACAGATTGGGACAATCAGTGATTGAGACCACTCAGACGAGATTGTGTACAGTTTCCGAATTCTACCTAAGATTTCAGTCAGTTTCCCCGCTAAAACTGGACCTAAATCCCTAAACATTTCAGGGGTAAGCCTATCAGGCCCTGATGCTCTCTCTTGCTTCAGATTTCCTACAGCTTTTTCAGCTTCATTAGAAGTTAGAGGATTTGCCGCTATTTGCCCTTCAGGTTGACTGGAGATCGCGGGCAACCGAAGTGTGGTAGAATGCCAGTTGAATTGATCACTGAAGTGTTCTGCTCACCAATCCAATCTCATGGGTTGAAAATGAATGAAACGAGCGTCCTTTTCTGAGATTGTCTCGCCAACGAATGGATTTCTAGTATCACTCTCCTTGATAAGGCCGAACAGTTATCTGCTATTACCTATCATCGCTGCCTTTTATATGGCTCTTGCTGTCCACCACTATTCAAGATCATTGCGTAGGCAATTTATCAGCCTGCACGGGAGCTGACTCCGCTCCTTATTGTACTCAGAGCCATACGGCATGATTTTTTGCGCATCTACCATTACTTCTCTCTAACCTTAGGATTGATCTTACTAGCGCATATTATTGCTGTTTCCATAGCTTTTCGAATCTCGTTCCTAGCTGCCTCATGGTGGGAATCCGTTTTACTATTTGCTCCTGAAATATGTTCTTAGCTATGCTATCGTTAAGTAGGATCTTAAGAGATTTCCTTGCAGCGTCTTTCCACCGACCAGTTAGTCACAAACTAATACGCACTTGCACTAGAGCATGATCTGAATTTAGCATGTGCCCCAGAACGGCAACAGTCTTCTACTGAACCCCTCCATCGGTAGCTGATTACGATGTGATATAGTTGATTCCAGAGTTGGGACGGCTTTGGGGATCACCATGTCAAAAGATGCTTTACTTTATGCTTAAAGTTAGTATTTGCTAGGAATAAGTTCTTATCTGATCATAGCTGCAGCGGATGGTCGTCATAACCTGTTCTATCAGCCGCGACACCATAAGATCCACGAAGGTGTCATTTCTTTGCATTTAGTTTACCTACTTGAGCATTAAAGTTATCAGGCACTATTACTATACCAGAGTGCCTAACGTTTTGGAGGACGTGCAAAAGATTTATGTAAAACTCATCTTTTACCACGTCTAGACTTCAGTCAGTCGGAGCGTAGGCAGATATGACAAAGAGGCAGCGATAAGTTTCTCACTCTTTCAGAGTCCTGACTGTCCCGTTTAGTCGGACAGCGCCTAAGCGACTATCTACAGCGATCCAGACTAAGGGAGCTAGTTATACCCGAGGTGAAATCAAATTAATGAATTTACTAGGATCCTGTATGCGCGTTTCCGAGACGCAGCATACATCGTTGGCGCGAGATTCTAAAGTCCTAGCTGATGAAGCCTATGGCTCTATTTGACACAATGTCCAGACATTAAAAGCTTCAACATGTAGTTTATTACGGGGTTTCAGGAGACTAGAAGTAGCGTTTCGTGCACTCGAATTGTTTGTTTTAGCGGTGGGGGTGATAAAGGAATGTGAGAAGGGTTAGTATTGGAGATGAGAAAAATATTACGGGGCGTGGGAGGGATCTGATTTTGACCAATTCGGTCTCGTGTTTTTTTACGGGTATGAGAGCGAATGTCACTTCCCTGCTTCCCACACCGTGGAAGAGTGTTTCTTGAGGAACCTGAAAAAATTTGGATTGGTGTTGGTCTTAGAGACCTTGGAGTGTGACCGCAGAGCCAAAGCGACGACTGCTTGAGGTCGGTCAAGCTCGGCCTTTTAGAGTTTTTAGAGTGCTGGCTGCGCACTTCAAGTGGCCTGACCGGCAAAAACTGAAATCGAGGTTGAGGTGTAACATTTTTAGGGTCGACGTTTTTAAACTCCTTCCTTCTTTATGAGAAGGCAGCATCGCTGCAGATGCTGGTTGTCCGAGGGAAACACCTTACTCCTGCCATACCCCTCTCCAGTCAGCCATAAAACTTCCCTTCAGACATCAAGTTGCTGCTTTTATTCTCACTACTCTCCAATCGACCTGCCTAGCATGGTTGAACCTACAGGAACATATGCTCCAGCCACTGAAGCTAATCACGATAGGTCGTCACGATATGCAAGCCCAAGCACCACGTCAAGGTAACAGCTACGGTCGGGCCACTAGCAGAAAACCTCTAACATACTCTATCCTAGGTTCTCCTTTCCAGCTGTCAATAATTAATACGCACTTTTGGCAGTCAGTGCCAAAATGTCAGAGTTAAGAATAGTAATCACTACAACAGGAGTTACGTACAACAACTTAACTGTGATTGGTGACTTATTTCTTCAACTGATATGTCTGAAGAGTCTTATACAACTGTTATGTGTATTTTAACTGAACTTGTTTTGATAATGATATCAAAATATAATTCAACGTATTTTCAGGTAAAATAGTACTTGAATCCATTCACATGATCGGCAAACACACTGCCAATAGTATCACCAAGACAATAATGAAATTTCAAAACGTGGACTAAATATGACATATATATATATATATATATACTTACCCGCATGTGTCGTAACTTGTTAGAACGATTAGTTGATTCTTCATGCAGTTTAGTTGATTGTGAGTTTTCAGTAGGTAGTACAAAATCAACCGCTCTTAACGCATTTGGCAACAGAACTGTGTTTTGTTTCAGATGGTTTTTCTTGTTAGCAGGTTTCTCATTTTTTGTTTTTTCGCCAATAGTATCTGTCAACTGATCACAATTATTACCGGTTTTATGTAATATTGATGAATTTTTATCACAATGACTGATGAATTTGGAATTGGTTTTATCAGCGTATGTGTGCATCTTGTTTTCTGTGTTTCTAGTTTCTGTAAATAATAATTTATCAAGCAGTTTATAGCTTTTCTTTTGATTTAATTCATTCAAATTGTCACCGCAATTCGGAACAATGTGTTTATCGGATTTTTTAGATGACAAAGATTGAGATTGATTATTTTGTATTTCATTGGTAATTTTTATTTCATTTTCGATCGAATCTTTTCTAGATAATTCTTCAACTGATTTGGCTTGAATCAAATGGTCATGTATTATTATGTCTGAATTACGATTGTGTTTCAGAGTTGATCTCTTATTTGACTGATGACTCCTTGTATCTTTTAGTATGAATATTGATTTAGTATTTTTATCTGTTTCACAAATGAAAGATAGTGTCATGTACAACAATGCAAGAGAAATATTACAAAGACATTATTTAGTCTAAGATTTTAAAAGTAACCACAGACGTTAAACTCTTTATATGTCATCTAAAATTCCCAAATATGTGCATTCTTCTTCTTACTTACTGTAAGGCATTGATTTTATAAGTATGTGTGTACTTTATTTTCTGTATTCCTAGTTTCGTAAAGTGTTAATTTATCCACTACTTTATAGCATTTCTATTGGTTTAACTCATCCAAATTGTCTTTGGGTTCTGTAATACTGTGTTTGTCGAATTTTTGTGATGATAAACATCTAAACTGATTAATATTAAGTATACAGCCTCGTGAAAACACTGGTTTTGACCAATAACTTATCTGACCGTTTAATATAGAGTTTTGAGATAAGAACTGTAGTCTAGCAGAGTCCATCTGATGAACGATTGGAAAATTTAAAATTTAACCCCAGAATCCTATCATTTAACTTTATGAACAAAACAAAAAATAATTTTTTAACCGCATACTAACAGTTAGTTGGTCGAGTTGAACTCAGAGTTTCATATGATAACAGTTTCTTTTTAAGAGTCTGGTATTGTAGAATTTTTATATGATTATCAGAGTAATCACGTATCAATTAGTCAACTTTAAATATAGTTCAGACATCATAAAAAAGTCTGTCACATTTATATCATTGCGTTTAAAGTAATAAACCGAAATAAAAATGTTTCCATATCTTTTCTACAATACTTGTTCGTTCCTATCAAACTATGTGACTTTGAACTTGGTGTCAAAAAGCTGTAATATTTAGCTAGTCGTTGTAGTAACTAAACTTTTGACCTAATGACATTGTCATGGGGTTTACGCTCTTGTGGATTCGTTTTTGGTCATATACTGACATGAAAATATTTGCATTGCATGCTATCCATTACATTTACTAGAATTCACAGTTATGAATTTAATCATTCCTCTGTATTCTCCTGTTTTATCTTACTTCCACATTGAAGATTTTTATATTCAACAGTAAAAGTACATCTGTAAACGATAAATAATAACCAAATGATATGATGGATATATTTATTTGATAGGTGATCAAACTAAAACTGATTTAACTAAAAGATTAAATATATCATTCATGAGTCGACCAACTAAGTTCATAAGCCTGAATACAACTTGAAAAAACTAACGATGAAATACAAAGGCATTAAGGAACAGTATTTAAGAGATTTCCTTAGTTCATTGACAAAAGACAAACAAGAAACTACTTTGAAGAGAAAACATGCAAATGCAATACTGCTTCAATTGCTTCACAGGAAAGTTTCCCTGCTAATGAAACATAAAGTGACTTCCAAATTTTATGGGACTATATAGATGAAAAGATGACTTTCATATACGCAACGAGCATTTTATAACTTATTACACTTTTATTTCTTTCATCCACACTTGCTTTTGTGAAGAAACAAACTTTGAAATGTCAAGATAGATAATAGGAATGACATGAGAATGTTTGTTACGACACTTTTTGATAGTACAATAAATTTTGGCAACGAAAATTAGTAGACTTATAAAGAATAAAAAACTGCAGTTAAAAGTAATAAGTATTTGTTTAGGTATGTTATGTGTATGTATATTCCAAAAACACGGAAAAAGTATGTATATTTAAAAATATTTATTCAACTAATTGTCGAAAAGTAATATTGATTAACCTAAATACTATACACGCTTTTAAAAAGAGAAACGCTAATTGATTTTTTATCCTTCTGCTGCCATTTAGCTTGAACACCATAACATTTAAGAGCACTTTTTATGCATAAATTTCATGAATGAGAGGCTTGCTTTAGGCCAATGAAACATAATAATGGTGGACTCTTTAAATGTGATATACTGTATTCAAGTTACTACGATCATTAATTATTATCCAGAAGTATAATTATCAGTACGAAAATGAACCTTTATTTTTACACGTCACACATATGATTGGATTTCTGTATGCGCTAAAACAGTTCTCGGTTTCCCAAACCAAAGCAGTAGATTTTAAAGGTTTTTGTCTTTCATGAATTGATCATCAACACCAGGTCTTATGAGATTGTATAATACTACAATCGTCTTACTCAATTTATAATTCACTAATGCTCTCTCGAAACGGTGTCATCTCTATAAAGAGGTTACCAAAATAGGTGAAGTGAATAATTGTTTTCTGTTTAGCAGCTTCGTAGTATATATTCAGGCCGCAACATCACATATCAGCTTTTAAAGTTAATATGAATCTTTCACATTTTACTGGTCGGTTTTCCGTTTTAGATGTATTGCTGCACCCTGTAGACTTATCTTATACCTCATCAGTGATAGCATGGTGAGCAACAACGCATCTCCTTGGCTTATCCTTCAAAATTCGCCTTTGGGTTCAAAAAGTGCATGGTGTTAGAACCCTACTCATGGATTATTCCATTATCAAGGTCCAAATCTTTGGTTTATATAAAGAATTAAGAGCTTTACATGAGGAACCAAATAAAAGCAGGTAACATTAAGGGTTTCTGACACACTATTAGTATAATAATTTAACTGAGTTCTGACATACTGGTTTTGTCTGATGTAATTTACTCAAACTTTACATCTCACTGATGCTGAAAAACTGTTGAAACTCGCTGAAATTGCATATGTAAAATATTACAACGTTGCTAGATAAGTAAAAGGAAGTTTCTGTACGATATGTGTATTGTTTTATACAGTGGGAATGACACGTTTGAAATTTATGATATGATTTTTAGACTCGGATTGTTATCTCCCATCTCAGTGAGTCAGTCAGTCAATCAGTCACAAGCAGTATGAAGACTTGCAGGAACTTGAATCATGACATGCTGTCGAGCCCAATCCTCTCAGTTTAATGGAATTAGCAAGATAAATAGCAAAACAAAAACAATATCAAAGAAATTAAGACGATTATTCATGGAGAATACTATTTGAAGAAAGAAACAGACTGACTGAATATGATGTAAAAATTTATTTTTAAAACAAAGACTTAGTTGCTTATTGAGGTCAAAGGACACAACATTACGGAGACTTATTCTGAGCCATTTTCACCTCTCGTAACTTCACCTTAAAGATATCGGATATTATGAGGGGAGCTAAAGTTATACTGTAGTGTCCATGGTATGCGAAGGAAATCAGAAAACAGAGATGCACACCAATTACAAACCACTGATTGATGAAATATGAACAGGTTATCTGACTTGCTGACATATACTACTATTTGCATAAGCGCTTAATAATAAAATAAATCTTAACTAAGTTGATGATCAAACGTCAGAGTTTGTATAAGAATATTTTATGTCTGTGAGTCTTACTGGACATCCTTGTGAAAGCCTTGACAGGTTGCAATAAATTTACGTTTTCATTGGGGTATCTATTATTCAATAAAGTAAGCTTTTTATTTTACCGAATGAAAGTTATCTACAAAATCGTCAAGGATCACATCATCTTCTTACTAAAACCAAGTATTTAGGCAGAAAAAATCATACAGTCTAGCTCTGAAAATGTAGAACTTCAAGAAACTTACAACCTCTGGTTGCAAATTCGTTCACTACTCATGCTAATGTTTTAGGCGTATTGAACAATAAATAGTCTAAATATTAATTAAAACTTATAAACACTTCAGTATCAACCCAAAAATAATATCATTAGAATGACATCATTGAAAAAAGTTTAGTTCGTTACTGCCTCTCGCATTACTACTGTATTTCTAGTGAGGTTGATGATCAAATATTTTCATGAAAACTTGTCTGATTTCACAGTTTAAAGAAAATATGTAATGGTTATTCACCAGCTTTAAACATTATTCACCTTTCAGATGGTTAGAACTGCATGTTGTTTCCTATGGGCCACTAAAGTTGTTAAATCTGATCTGCAAGAATTGTTATCTCAGTTTAAAATGCTTGAAATATCGAAAAATCTGTTTTGGCCTAAGGTTCTATCAGTTGATCGAATACATGATGTATATCACCACAATCAAATATAATATAATCCGGAACTATTCGGTTTTTAAAATTTTAGACGTCTTCAAATACTGCTAAAACAAAAAGTCATCTGTTCACTTAGACTTACTGTCGGAAACCGAAGGCGATGAAACCAGTTTTAGACAGTTAGTATGATTCTTTCTTGATTTTGACTCGTCCACCGTGCATCCAGACATAGACGTATTGACAGACTCAGAAGAATAGCTGTCTTTTGACTTGGAATCGTTTAAAATGGAAATTTCTTGACCGAACCTGTAATTTTGCATATTATCTCTAACATTGGTTTCATGGGACAGTAATTGATCGAAACTTATCGCCGACCACTTGCATACATCAACGTTAGTCATTTCAAACGGGAAAACTTATACCGGACTCAGATCAACAGACTATGGCAACTTAAAGATTATCTTATTAACATTCTCTCCCATTGAGCGTTATGTCCAAAATATATTACAAAGTCGGTCAAATAGTGAAGGTTAAGTTAAAGATTTTAGTATAGAAAAACAAATAAGGCTGACTGAATTTTCCAAAAGCCATTAGTTTTATTTTTCTGAAAGAAAACTGCTGCTGATCGACTGCTGTTGATCTTCTCATTGAATAAATATGAATATCGATGAGCATTTGATTGTCTTTTATTTCTAAATGAAAGGAAGCTGAAAGATATCAGTATAGGTTGCAGATTATTTGAGAGCAAAATTACTGCTAGTCGTCTGCAATATTCGTCTCAGAGTTTGTTTTATAGATTCTTTGTCCTTCAAATAAATCCAAGAAATATACTTTAATATGATGATTTAATACATTCCGCGACACCTTAAAGAAATGTAAATAGGCCTCACAAGCGGAACTCACAAAGCACGATACTGAAAGATTCGGAGTTGCCTGCTAATAGGATGGTCACAAAGCTCTTCAACGAGTCACATTTACGTAGTGTACATGCTTTTAAAGATATGGATAATCCAAGGAAATCTTCTCTTCCCCCGAACCACAAATAGCCCAATACGAGAACTTTAAAAGGCCAAGTTTTTGATGATGCCTTCGTACACAGGTTTCGGATTCTTAGAAACCTGATTCTTATTGTTATGTATTTATCACACTGGTTCCCTGAATCGTAAGAATAATTTCAGCATTGTTACAGTAATTGAATGGTTTCAGAAAGGGTTGAGTAATAAATAGGTCATTTTTGATGGGCAGTAGTCATGACTCTGATAAAAATAAAGCCTCCACGATAACTAGCCAAAAGATGTAAGGATAGGTGGCAGTAGCTCGTGTATTTATATTTAAAATAAAGTTTGTCTTGTCTTTCTCATAACCAGAATAACACTACAAATAATCTTATCAAATCTTTCGCACTTTGACCTAATTTTATGTACTTCCCAAATCTCTAACTTAGGACTTGTACATTAAGGGATTATTGACTGACTTCAGTTACCATATTACTGCTTTTACTTTCTTCATCTTTGAAATAGTTCTAGTATTGGTACTTTTAGAACCGTTCTTGATTAGTTACTATAAGAACGAAAAGAATTTTACCAAAACAATTGTGTGTACCTGTTGAAAAAGACTAGAAAGGTGCAAATAAATGCGACTGACGGATGAGACAGTTCATAACATTTAAATAATCAACCTGAACATGGTTTGATAATATGCTTACATTTTACTAATCGATACGATACTCTTCAAAATTAACGTGGCCTCATTGGCCTTCCTCCATTTACAGGAAACAATCCAGTTTTGGACACCGGGTCGAGATATTTAGTCACTCTCGAAGATATAGAAGTTGACAATCTGAGAACTAATTCGGGCAAATAGAATTATTGCAAGTCAGGATTACTGCACGTTTGCTCTAGCTGTCTCGATCAGCTGCTCTCTTCCTAGTTGCTTCGGCAGCATACACACATTCATTCAGTCTCAGAAACAGGACTTATGCAGAAGTTACTGGATCCACGTGAAGTTGCTTACTCAGTCGGTCAAAGATAAAGTTGCAATTTTGGGGACATTCAGGTTCTACTCTTTCGTAGTTATATTTGATATCACCATTTTCCTCCTTCTGAAACTCCTATTTTCCGTGTTTTATTCTTCCAGTTATCTCGTTTATTCATCTCTAAATCTCTCAGGTATCATGTTAAGTAATAAGTTTGCTACCACTTCTAACACTATAACAACTATGAAAACCAGTGGAGATCTGAATTACGAGCAAAGTATTGGGTCAAAATTCCCAGCGTTGAGTGACAGAGTTGTGTTGAAGCTCAAAACGTTACTTGATAGCGAACCTCGGAACAGTTTTCACAAATCTGATAACATTACCCAAACACCTACAATAGGTCCCCAACATATAAACTAAGCTAACACTCTTCAGATTCTTATTCCCAGAAAGACCGGTAGGCAAAATGAAAACAGGAGAAAAAGGGGCTAGATGGATCCACCGACACAATCGCACAAGGATAAATGTACAGCCTGATCGGTGCCAGTCAAAACCAGTGACTTTACTTTGAAAGCCCTGTCCGTTGTTCTGGTGCATCTGTCCACATTGTAGAATAAATGATGTAGATGATGTAGATGATGTAAATGATGTAGAATAAATGTTAGCATTATCAAAGCCCCAGGCCCCACGAAAAACAACTCACAAATCCCAACAGGTAGACCTAAGTCGCCCGTCAGTAAGCCAAGGAAACGGGTGACAACAGTGGCCATAACCCAAACCAACACACCGACAAAACTGCCGGTTACTTTAAACCCCCTCCTCCACTAACAGTTAACAGTACGAGACAGTGGATCAGTTCAAGATATGGAAACGGCAAAACTACAGCTTGCCAAATAATATCAGTCAGTGACAGGGATGCGAGACTGAATACACGAATTTTATTTGCTGTCCTACTGTAGAAGGATAGCTTACTAGAAAGTAGGGGTGCCTTTGATTAAGAGCAATGAGACAAGTAATGCGCAATCTTTGGAGTGTGACGTATCAATGCCAAAATATGCCGTCTTTTCAAAGGCCAGCAAGTCGCAAATGGAAACCCCTTCCGAAGGGGGTAACCTTAGACTTTGCACAACTTGCCGAAGATATCCTTGTATGATCCATTTTGGAAGACTTTGTCAATGAAAATCCCCCATGAATACATCTGTAATATGTCCTTATTGATTCTTTCAGTTCTACGTCTCGGTAATGTGTTCAATTCCATTTGAGATTATAATATTTGTATATTATTATAGTTCCTGTTTTTTGTGCATTTACTGAGTTTCTATGTTTCTTTCTGAACTGCATTATGTTGTTTAAGCCGATACTTAGTTATGGCGACAGCCATATTGATTGTGTTTCTCTGTTGGCTGAAGCGCTTGCACTGACAGGAAGTGTGCAATCTGAATTTGAAATTGGAGCACTCTACCAGAATCATAAACACTCTGTGTTATAGGAGGGATAGAAATTCGTTTTTTGAATAATTGGATGAATAACGAGGTAATATTGTTTAGTTAATGATAAATATTTACATTGATGATTAATAATAGAACCGTTACTTACCCAGTCACTTGTTTCGGATTTAAACTGAGCAAGGCGGGTATCTAAATTACTTGGACAGTTATTCCTCAATCCAAACCTCAGTTTGGATCTTACAATCTTCCCCATATCTCATACACGATTGGTTAAGTTGTATTCCCGATCCGAGTCAGGCACTATAAACTGTGGTCAGTACAAGCAGCATCAAGGACATCACAGGACACCTGAGAGCAAACCAGTATGGTAGTTTTGGCGTGCCCGAAATGGCAGGAGATAACTTGAACGAAGCTCATGAGCACGACGTGCATCAATCAGTCGCTATCAGGTAGCATGAGACTTTAACCACCACGGCAACTAGAATTTCCCGAATGCCTCGTCCGTCACACTAAGCCTTGCTTGACAATCCGACAACGGCTGACGCTGCAGAGGTGCACCAGGTGATGAGTCAAACCGCCAAGTGCCTCTATATCAAAATAAGAAGACTAAGGTGTAACCCGTTTGAAATCAGGAATATATGCTTTCACCTGGGTCTGAAGATCATAATCCTAACTGAAACATGACTATCCCCAGATATTGCAGACCATGAAGTAAGCTTGCAAGGCATGACACTTCTGATGTGACAGGGAACACCAGACAGGAGGAGTGGCCATATATAGACAGCAATTTCAAAGCCCAAGGACTGTTTAGCTCTCAACTAGCCGAGGTAACAGAATCATGTTGGAGTTGTTTCCGCACAAATAACAAGAAATCGTTACTGGAGATTTCAACACTCCACCTCTAAATCTCAGTAAGCGTGCCCCATAGCCATGGGAACGGCGGAAAACAGTCAGAGGAATTATTCAGAATGCTGTCCTAAACAATGCACCTTTGCTACACCACACACCTGGAAGCAGAAGAACATGGGTGAGACGCGGCACTTAACACTTGCTGTATATGTAAATGGGAGCCTGGTACATGTGGGTGGTCTCGTTGATGGGTTCCGTCCGTAGTTCTTACTTGGCGTTGAGAAAGAGATACAACAACAAATTAGGAGTGAAATAAGACGCTTCGAGATTAAGCTAGCTTTCAAAATACAAAAAAACCTAAGCATCTGTTTAGGTTCATGACAAAAGGAAACCTACGAATTACAGTGTGTGATTCTTCATAGGTCCGGATGGGGAAGACCTCACCAACCTAGGGACGACTGAGATCTTCAGCTCACCGATATGTGACCAGTTTGGGCATTCACTGAAGTCACACCAACACCCAGTTAGATTGAAACAAGCTACTCTCTCCAATCTTCAAAGGAGGATATATAAAAGACCCAGCCTGTTTCAGAGAAGACGCATTACTACCAATACTGTCGATGGTAATGGAAGGGCCGGTGAACGAACAAATGAGGGAGTACATGGATAAGAATAAAATATTCCATTAAGCTAAACAGCGTTTCGGAAAGACAGGTTGTTTACCTCCAGTTTTCTCATAGCATGGGGGATTTAGAACTCTTGCTGGCACCAGAAATTACCGGTGCACATAATATTTCTAGACTTTGATAAAGCCTTTGACACAGTATCCCACTAACGCCTAATCGCGAAAGTTGCAGAAATGGGCTCCACTGACCTACTCCTAGAAACTACCTTGAGAATAGAAAGTTCGAACCAAGGTAAATAGAGTGCACGCGAGTCGGCCAGTCTTAACATTGAGAGTTTCATAGGGAACCATCTTAGGTCCGCTTTTTTTCCTGACGTTTATTATTGATCTCCTAGACGAAGTTAGTTCGGCAGCATTAATCTAAGCAAAGATCTGGAAGTCCATGAAAGGCGAAGAGAATTTGACTGAGTTTCAAACGAACCTTACATCCATTAAGGAGCCGGT